TTAAAAGATGTTTTATGACTTTTAGGAGACAGTTTTGCTGCTTTTTACATTTTCTTCGTTAAACTGCTTCTCTGACGTCATCATGGGACATTCTCAGAGCAGTCGGGCTAAATATAATTAAACCTTGTTTATCTGCATTCTAGTTGTTTCTTTCTTTAGATAATGCACTATATAACATAATGTTAACACGAAAGGAAAACACAAAACTCAAAAAGACTAGATTTATGTTTAAATCCAAGGTGATAAAGTTAGCTCCTGGAAGTAGCGTAGCATCCTATTTCCTGTACAGATCAGCAACAGAGGGCTACAACAGAAAGGATTTTAATGCATTTATTTTCTCAGGAAATACATAATTAACCTTTGACACATTATATTTTATTATGTTTGCTATTTTTTTGGAGGGAAAACGTCATTTAGGTCTTTTTAACTAAATAAAATCGAGGGCGACCCGGATGTATATCTGGCTGCACAGATTGAGCTTCCGGGACGGATCAGGTAGCGACACAGCTTGCTCTCAAAAGTGTATTTTGTATTTCATCCTCCCCCTTATCAAAACTCCCCTGGATGTTATAGCAAATGGGTCCAGAACTGCCGGCCATGATCTGCTCATCTGTTCTCCATTTTTCATTTCAGCGTGTTTTCATGGGGGAAACAGAACAGCATGAAATAAAAAAAACAGGACAAGGGATTCAAATAAATTAAGATGGCTGCATGAAGTGACATTCCTATTAACTAACTAAAGGTTTAATTAAAATTCTATGCCTTATTCGGTCAATATACATTAATAATTTAGGAGTTTTACATATTTTTGAATTAATTTAAGTCAAAATTACTGTTTTCTGAATTAGAACTCAAGAAAAACGGATAAATTCAGCTGTAAAAATCAGAGTATTTTGTTTTGCTTGTTTTGAAAAAACATTTAGCAGATAAAAACTGGGATCCTATCTCAATCCCACTGCAGCTATCACCTGTCACGATTTGGTGGTGTTGGTAGAGGACCCAAATGCAGAGACGAGTTGGTTAAGATGAATTTAAGTGTTTTAGTGGGTTTTCAGGTTCTGAGGCAGGAGTCAAAAATCCAACAAAATATCTTAAGAACCAGATTCTAGGAGACATCAGGGAAAAACCAAAAACTAAGAACCAGGAAGAGACAAGGAAGGACGACAGAGAACTGACCAGAGGTTTGATGAGATGTAAGACGAGGATCCAGCAAACAAGAACTGAAGAGGGAGAGCTTTTAAAGGGGACAGAGACAAAGAGAGGGCTGACGAGGAAATTGGCAACAGGTGCCGGCAGAAAAGAGAAGACAGCAAGGGGCAGAAAACAGAGCTAGGAATAGAGGACACAAGAGGGCAGCAGAGGACAACAAATGGAAAACCTGGAGGACAGGAACTAACAAGAAAACAACAAAATAATAATTAGACACTAAAACAAGGAGCAAAGTTAGACTGAATACTCTACATAAACAACAAAACCAAGACTGTGACAGTACCCCCCACTTAAGGGCGGATCCCAGACGCCCTAAAATGTCCAGAAACAAAAACAACCCACCCAGGGCAACAAAAAGTCTCTGGAGGCAGACGAGGAAGAGTCTCTGGAGGCCGGCCGCGGGGCCGGAGGCGTGGCAGACGCTCTGGAGGCCGGCCGCGGGGCCGGAAATAAAGCAGAGTCCTTGGTGACACGGCAGACGTTCAGGTGGCCGGCCGTGGGTCAGGCAACGAAGGGGGACCATTGGAGGACGACGTCTCTGTTGCAGCAGGAACTTGGAGGAGGACGATGTCTCCGTTTCAGCAGCTCAGCAACAGTCTCTGAGGGGACCGCGGACCGCGGCTCTGGAACAGGGTCCGAGGAGGCCGTCAGCTGCGGCTCAGGAACTGGCTCTCGGGGAGCCGCCATAAACATAACAAAACCAAGACTGTGACATCACCGTATTGTTCTTAAATAATTAGTAAAACAGAATTTATAAAGAAAAAAAAATGCAATAGATCCAAAGGACCCATCAGTAACCGTCTGTTCCAGCCCAGATCATCTTTAGAATTTCTTTGAGTATTATGTCTTCAGTACAGGGCATGATCTAGAGGGGCTCTGGCCCCCGTTGGCCCCTGTCTAGAACTGCCCATGGTTCTAATGTCATTTTAGCTAAAAGAGTTTCATCAAAAACATAATTATAGACTCAAATAAGGAATAGTTGTATCAACCATACATGTAAACAGAGTTTTATGGGCCCCCAGGAACTTGGGGCCCTAAG